CAGTCCTGCCCAAGACACCAACTGTCTTATATGGCCACTTTTCTCCTCGACAATGGGTGGCCGTCTTACACAGGTTCGACTACTACCAAATAATGTTCCAATACATATTTCTCAGACAAATACCTCATGTAGATGCTCCTGTCTGTGGGTGCTCCTCCGGCTAGTCCTCCTGTCCGTGGCTGGTCCTGGTGACGAAGACATGTCAATACAATCGTCTTGTGTCTCTACAGTTTCCGTTTTTGTTTCAGAAAAATAAAGAGTTGATATTATATTTTTACTACTGGTTTAAAAGGACATTATTAGACATCTGTAAGTAAATACGTTTTTTATTTTTATTTTTCAGCGAAATGCAATTAAAAGCCTTAGAGCTTGAAAATTGTTTAAAAATAAATACATTTATTTTTCTAACTTAACTTCAATGTTTGATTACATTATGCTATTTGGACTGGGACATCTGACTGCATTTCATAGAAAGACAGAACAAAATGGTTCGACCACCTGTTACGTATGTTACCTAGCCAGCCAGCCTTGAGAACCTATAACACCAAGCACTCAAGCTATAAAGGAAGAGGAAGTATTGTATAGTATAAGGTTTTACGGCGCTCGCAACTGCTAAGGTCATATGAGCGCGCGAAACACAAGTTGTTCACCTCTGCGAAAGTTCACTTCACGACTGGCTTACTAATTTACTTTAAAATGCTAAAAAGTTTTTTAAAATATTCAAATTCGGTGTAAATACATTTGTGATCTAAAACAACTTTAAGTAACAATAAAAATTTTTAATAATATCAAATTAACTCTACAACTCGCCATAAAGGCCATTGGCCTTTATAACATTTTAAATTCTGCTGGGAACAACGACGGAAAATATATCCTGCAATTTCTTGCATTTATAATATTTCCTTCGGATCTCTCCAAAGTCTAGACATTCTGTTAAAATGTGTCTATTGGTAAAATCTGTGTCGCATCCGACACAGAACGGCTTCTCATCTCCCTGTAGGAGGTATTTGTGGGTAAGGGCCGTGTGTCCGATGCGCAATCGAGTAAAAATGACTTCGTCTTTTCTGGAGAGGAAGGCCACACAAAGGGTGGATTGAAGTTGTCAAGGAAGCCCTGATAAATCATAGTATCCGAACTGAAAGAGCTCCGGAGCTAGCCTACCATAGAAAATTGCATCTCCCCTCTATGCTTAATGGCAACAGAGGATGAAAAAGTAAAAGTAATTGATCAATAATGTTCCAAGACATATATCCCAGACAAATACCTCCTGTAGATGCCCCTGTCTGTGGGTGCTCCTCCGGCTGGTCCTCCTGTCTGCGGCTGGTCCTGGTGATGAAGACATGTCAATTAATACAATTGTCTTACATCTATATAGTTCCCATTTTTCTTTCAGAAAATAAAGAGTTGACATATTTTTACTACTGGTTTAAAAGGACATTAATAAAAAATATGTCAGTAAATACGTAGGCCTCTTATTATTTTCTCTTTTCACCTAAATGTAAAAATAAAACTTTTACCTTTAAATCAAAAGAACCGATAGATATTTTTCTTTTTTCTTTTTTTTGTAGAGGTTTTACAGCGCTCACAACTGAATAAGGTCATATGACCACCATGGGGTGGATGTCAACAGAGAAGTTTTTACAGGGAATCAGACTTACTCTGCTCACCTCTCTGGCTTCAACAGCACAAAGTCTCTTTCGACTTTCAAAGCACCCCGGAAATGGTCACAAGAGTGTGACAAACATAAAAAAGTAGAGGAAAATGACGATAGTAAGGATTGGGAAAGTAAAAGAAGCAGTTGCCTGTTGTAGTTCAGGCACAGTCATGAGCATGACATTGTTGAATCTGCCCTTTTACAATTCTACTGTACATAAAAACTGGAGTAGGGTCAGACTCGCTAAATCAGCGTCCGTGAGTAACGAAGTGCTCGCTGGCACTACCCGCAAACAAGCGGACGGGTAACGAGCCATCCGCTTGTGAAGAGTAGTTCGCTACTCGCTACTCATCGGACAGAGACAACAGTTCATTTAGCCAGCAAGCGGACGGATGGATGGAGAGACTCCATGCATTCAAACAGGCAGGCAGACGGACGGGGAGCGACTCCTATTGCATACTATTTACACCCTGCCCCCCTCGTAAAACATTCACCCTCCTGCCCCACATTGTAGCTAGGTGTTCATGCTGGAAACTGCTCTCCCCCCCCCCCCCCCATAAAAAGGCCTTTGGAAATTCTTTTTTGATTGACTGAGCAGGTGTTTTACGGCACTATCGACCCAAATTCTTTAAACTTCGCCTTCAGGTTTAATTGGAACGTACACAGTGTGAACCACACACGAGGTGAAAGGTTACACACATAGTGCAACGTCACCAGCCTCTCTCACTCCCTGTGGCACTGCTAGTGGCTTGAAACACTATGCCTAACTAACAAATAGACGGCGGGCCTAACATCGAGTCGAGTATCTCGTGTGCTAGAGTTAGTCCGTTCGCCTGCCCGTTAAGTGAATTAAATTGTGGAGCGGACCAAAAAAAAAGAACTGACTTGAGGTCCGCAGTCTGATCGCTGAGAGAGTAAAATTGTGGAGTGGACCTAAAAAATGAACTGTCTTGAGGTTCGCGGTCCACTCGCATGGCCGTCCGTTACCCACTCACTCTGACAGTCCGCAAGTAACGAACCCGTCCATCCGCTCGCCCCAACTCTAATAAAAACGAGGGGGGGGGGGGGTATTTTTAAAATTTTTGCTTTAATTATAAATTAACAAATAATGTTCCAATACACTTTCCAGACAAATACCTCCTGCAGATGCTCCTGTCTGTGGGTGCTCCTCCGGCTGATCCTCCTGTCCGTGGCTGGTCCTGGTGATGAAGACGTGTCAATTAATATAATCGTATTGTATCTATACAGTTTGTATTTTTGTTTCAGAATATACAAGAGGGGATATATTTTTACTACTGGTTTAACTGTTTAATTATGTCTCGACAGTTGCAGCGTCTGGCAGTCGAGGTCCATAACTATGGCTGGACCGATGCAAAGTCGTATTATGGTAGGAGCCGAATATAAAAAAGTATGAGCTAACAAGCCTTTAGTTTGACCCAGAAGCCAAATATAAATGAATTCTACATCTGCGTAATGCTTAATTGATGAGTTTGACTCGAAACAAGTGGTTTTATAAACGTAATATCTCGGGTCGCATTTCCACAAACACGAGAGAATTACGCGGAAACGTGATTTCATATTGCATGTTAAAAGGCCAGAAAAGACATTAACTGATTCCGTCCATGATTTTTTCAGGCTCTGGACAGAGTTATTTTTCCCTGCTCAGTTTTAGACCTGGGGTGCATCTATTTAACGCATTACTGTGAAGCTCAAAGTCATTCTAATATATTGTCATATACCAAACTGATGGGAATAAATAGAAAAATCTGTTTATATCAATAACAATGACCTATAAGCTGTTTGTATTACAATTTCCTTCTGACAAAAACGAATGAGAAAAAAAAATTGCGCAACAGCTCTTCGAAAATTTCGACTTACCGCATTTTCTCAGCTCTACAAGTCCTTATAATCCATAGGAATCAACACAACATTGTAGCGATATCACCCTAGCACACATTTATGCAAGAATTTCACAAATTTAGTTGAATATCTTTCTTTGAAGAGCCTTTTTATTATACCAGGCTCCGTGTTGTTTACCCTTAGATCTAGCCTACATCGCAACAACAAAACAACGATTTTTGTAAGAATTTCGCGGAGTTTCGATCGATATTGGCGCTCAGAGATTGAGGTCAGGTTTGTTTACAAGTTCTACTTCCTTTCGACAACATAAAAAGTAGGAACTATGTTAAAAAGTGCACCTTTGTTTCGGATTTCGTTGAGCCGCTCACAGCGGCCGAATGGAGGCAGCGGAAAAAATCAGAGCCGCTGTCAGCGGCCGAATGGACGGAATCAGTTAATGAAAACGGGTCAGGAGATATGTTTTATTAGTTTTCTTTTTCACCAAAATGCAAAAACAAGTCTTTCACCTTGAAATAACAAAACCAATAGTTATTTTTCTAATTTTACTTTAATTATTAATGAATAGTGTTCCAAGACATATTTCCCAGACAAATACCTCCTGTAGATGATCCTGTCTGTGGGTGCTCCTCCGGCTGGTCCTCCTGTTCGCGGCTGGTCCTGGTGATGAAGACGTGTCAATTAATACAATCGTCTTACATCTATACATAAAGCTTGTATTCTTTTCGTGAAAAAAACTGTCGCTAAAATATTTTTGCTACTGGTTTAAAAAGCATCAAAGGCATTTTTAAAAATTTGTCCAAAAATATGTTTCATCATTTGTCAATCAATACTATTGTCTTACGTCTATACAGTTTGCATTTTTGTTTCAAAATATAAAAAGAGTCGTTATAATATTGTTTACCACCAGTTTAAAAGGACAGAAGGTCATTAATAAAAACCTTTCACTAAAAATACATTTTATCATTCTTTCCACCTAAATGCAACAATAAAACTTTTACCTTTAACTCGAAAAACTATAATAATGAACACCAAGACATATTTCCCAGACAAATACCTCCTGTAGATGTTCTGTCTGCGGATGCTCCTCTTAGTCTTAGTCGTCCAGGTGGTCCTTAAGGAACAATCCAGTAAACACACCACTCCAACATCACACTCAAACTCAAAATCAGCAGGAAGCTCTACCCACACCATTCTACCCCTGCAACCCGCCCCCCTTCCCAAAAAAAAAGAAAAACCTACACTGCCCCCTCAACTACCTCCCGCCATGGCCATGGCAATATCGACAAAATTCTACTCTGACTCTATCCACCTAGCTCCCTATCAACCTATCTGGCTATCTCTACAGCCCCACTGCGTCACTTCAAGCCTGAGTGTGATATACGGAAATCGTAGAAGCAGATCACTTTGATACTTGTTGGACCAGAAAAGTGAACAAACCGTCTGTCACCAAACTTTGAACTGAAAGAAAGGGATAGAATTGCCTCGTCATCTTTCTAGTTCAGTGATCTCATATAGTGAAGCAGCTTCTGTACAATATTCTGAAACAGTACATCATACAAAGAATCTTTCTGGCGTTGAGTCCATGTTTTTACAGCCCTATCCGCACAATTTCACATAAGCTTGAGAAATCAAAGTGCACAGTCAGCTGTTATAGTTGCCAGTTATTGTTCGCTGGTGTAACTGACGGAAGTCCATTTCAGGGTAGCTGTGGCAGTATATACTCATCTGGCTGGTTGTTTAAGAGAGTGGAAGGTCCGTGCTGTCTGGGCAGGGTGTCAGCTTCTTGGGTGACTGTCAGCTGTTGGCTTCTCATGTGGGTGCTGTCTTTCTGTGAAAAATAAATTTGAAGTCAAATTAGTTAATTAAACTTTACAGTTTAAGCAAAGAAAAGCACATCCAAGGCAATAACAATTATCAAAATGTAGGGAAAAAATACGACAGACCTCTAGGTCACGAGAGCCCCCATATTGGTTTTTGATTGAGTATTATGTTCTATATCCCTATAGAGAAAATCTGTTCATGTATTTGCCACATAGATCTACAGATTTTCCAAACAACTTTTCTTACTACTGATTAAAAGGATGGACAAACATTTACAAAAATCTGTCAGCAAAATTATAAGTTAAAAATGTTCACTTTTTTACAACTTTGATACTATGCATTTCTTGTAGACTAAATTTTTGCAAAACAAAGATCTTTCCTGGGTCAATAATATTAACAATGACTTCCTGTTGGAGCATTTAAAATACAAAATACTGGTGTAAGCGTATCTTTGAATTCACCGCATTCTATCAAAATAAGCCAAACAGTAGAAGAAACAAATTGTAGCATGTTATAAAGAAAAAACATTTTTATCCTTCTACGAGATCTTCACATGGTTGTGTATTTTTTACCAATTAAAACTTCCATTATTCCAAAATTAGTATCAGTGTGATAATGCAACCTATTGAAGGAGAGGTTCCACCTTCAGGGACACGAAGCAACCAATATCATAAATTGTTCTCAGTTGAATTGATTTAACAAGCAAATATTCAGGTCTTAGGTTAATTTTAGACTCATTACTCGACATGACCAGGGGCATTTTTTGAGAGACACCTAAATACAAACATGTAATTTGAAGTTGAACTCAAAACTCACCAATTATTGGTACTTTTTAATTTCTAAAGTAGTAATTGAGTTAATGTCCTAATACGGGACGTCTGTTAATAGGGGGGGAGGAGGGGGAGAGAGAGAGAGAGAGAGAGAGAGAGAGAGAGAGAGAGAGAGAGAGAGAGATTGCTCTGGCTTAAATTAAGAGTCGCAAGGGTGGTTGCTGGATGTGGAATACTGAAAATAGAAATAACTAAATCTGAAGGAACTAGGAGGAAGGGGTTAAGGGGTGGGAGGTGCAGTTTGAGTCGAAAGAGTGCACAGGAAATACAAGTGAGAGAGAAACAACGGAACTAGCCCAAAATAGGGAAATGGGAATGAAATGACCTTTCAGTACGCACAGTGACAATATGTACAATGAGGAGGAATGGGGAGAGACGAAGGATGACGACTTGATAAAAAGAATTGGAATACGGTTCAATATCAAGTAATACGAAAACAAATAACATACCTGAATATTTGCTAAGATATAATGGAATCTAAATCTCTATGTGTCGCCTGATCGCCTCGGTTTCATTAGCACAGGAGACGGGAAGGCAGTGTCCAATGTAGTTTTACTACTGGAATCTCAAGTAGAGCTACCTGAAATGTCGCCAGCTTCAAACTGATTAATTTCTGCTCATAGTGCCCTAAGAGAGCACGAACTGAATTGTATTCACCAAGCAGCTGTCTGCTGATTGGCTGTTGGATCTCCGAATTCTACTCATCAGTCACTTTTTTTTTTTTTAGCTGAGTACTGTAAACGAGGCGTCACGAAAAAGCGTAGACTAACATAGCCAGGAAGACAACGTTGTTGGTTGTTTTTGTCCCCCCCCCCCCCCCCCCCCCGTGTGTGTGTGTGTGTGTGTGTGTGTGTGTGTGTGTGTGAGAGAGAGAGAGAGAGAGAGAGAGAGAGAGAGAGAGAGAGAGAGAGAGAGGGGGGGAGAGTGTAGGCCTTT